TGTGATCAAATTTTGTTTGAGGAACGAGTTTTCGGCTGCGGAAACGTTGACGATGCTACAGAAAGCCTTTGTGGACTCAACTATGTCGCAGGAGAACGTGTGTAAGTGGTACAAAGACTTCAAAGAGGTTCGTGCTAAAGATGAGGCAAGACCGAAAAAAACACTTCAAATTCGCTCAAAAATCAAGGTCATGTTGACTGTTTTCTTTGATTTTATTGGTGTGGTGCACTACGAATTCCTTCCACCCGATCAAACAGTGAAAAAGGAATATTATTTAAGCGTCATGCGTCGTTTGCTTGAGGCAATTTGAAGAATTATGAGACAACAATTCTTGATTTTTAATGATGACGGTGCATCGCACACAGCACTTATTCTTCGTGACCATTTCGCTAAAAAGTCCACGAATATCATTCCTCAACCGCCGGATTTGCCGGACTTGGCACAATGTGACTTCTGGCTCTTGCAAAAACTCAAAAGACCAATTTGAGGACACTGTTTTGAGTCGATTGAGGGATTAAACGCGAATCGGCGCGTTCTCTGAAGGCCACACCAGAACGTGACTATTTGACATGCTTCAATAATTGGAAAAAACGTTGGCATAAGTACAATGTATTGGCAGGGAACTATTTAGAAGGCGACGAAATCGATGTAGAAGAATAAATAAAGATTTTTAATTATACAAACAAATTTACCTTACTTTTTGCTCACCCTATAATAATTTCAACAAATATATTATATATATATAGTTGTCACTTTATAACCGCTGAAGCGATTTTCGGCCGAGCTCCTCGTCGAATTTGTGATTTTGCGTCTTGATATTTTTCCAACAAACAGAAGGACCTACAGTTTAAACTAAGCCGCTTCCGAACAGCTAATGGTTTTCTGTCATTGATACACTCAGTGGGGTTGTCATTTCCTGCCGAGGGAACGCGACCGCAATTGGAAAATTTAACTTAATTTTCTCTAACTTTTTCGATGTTAGTAAGACACCAATAGGGGAATTCTCTAACGTATTATAAAGTTTTTCGACAAAATAATCGACGTGTATATAAAAATCAAAATAAAATTATCAACGAAAATAGCTTTTGGCAAAAGTATTATCCCTAGATAAGGAGGTATTGTACGTTCCATCATTAGATAGAAGTTGGCTTCATTCCGTCGAAGAGCAATAGGGAATACCCATAAGTCAGTCGTCAATAAACCATTGCATTCATCGCGTGACAGAAGCTGTCAACCTTTCAATGTTTCCTGCGAAGGTTAGATTTTCCATTACGTCGCCATTTGCTGGAGGAACTATTGGGGTTATCGACTGCGAAGAAGCCTATGCCAACCTATACCTTTCTACCAACGAGCAATTCAATTACCATTGAAGTAACAAAGCTCATTATATTTGTGCGCGGATATATGTTCCTTATCGCAAGATTATAGCGGCAAATACCAAGTACTCAAGAGTGCGGCACAATTTTCTTATTTTGATCTCCTCTATAGAGCGAAGAGTCATACATGAAAGTGCAAACCATAACATTTTTCTGATTCGATAAACTTGTAATGCATTGCTATTTATTTAATAAAAATAATTTCTATAACAAATTTATTTATTCTTGTCATTTCTCTTTGTGCTTTTGTTAAGCTGTGGTGCCACCTCTCCTTCATGTTAATAAAATTGAAATGTCCGTTGTTAGGCTGGTACTTCTTGCGCTATCCCATTCACACGCGCTTTGAAATGCGAGGGAAAGCAAGCAATATAAACACTGGGACCGTGCAGGAAGGGAGCTGTAAGATTTCACAAAAAAAAAATTAATTTGTGATATTAAATCGCTGTAAAATATAATGAATGTTGAAAAATAATATAGATAACTTGCAGGCCTGGCGACAGGCTGCTGAAACTTTTGTATTTTGCCCAACTTAAATTTTATGCTAATTGGTATTGCTAGGACTGAAACGAACAATGATTATGTATATTTTTTCAAATAAATCGATTGATATTCCGTAAAACAATAATTTCTAATGAAAAAAATTTTAAATACGATTTTTTCGAAAATAAAAACATCTATATACCGAATTTCAAGTAAATCGAACCGATTTTTTCGAATGGCTAAGTCAAGAAAAGGTGAATCGAAAAGTGCACTAAGACGTGACTACCTTTCCAGTTGCGAACATAAAAATTCTAATCTAAGTTGACTGGTTATGACAACATACAATAAACAATATGTTTATCGAATTATGTCCTTAACCGCATATATACAGCTTTCACTTTTTCTTTTGAAACAAACCTCGTATATACTCGTAGACATAGCTATGCCAGTAAGTATGTAATAATTTGTAAATTCATTTCTTAAAAATTATTGTCTTACCAGTAATCTGTTGAGTTTTCATATTATAATTTAAAACTTTGGAAAAGTTGTGATTCCGATGTTAAAAGTCTATGTTTTATTTTTTTAAAATTTCGTATTCAATAATTGAGTAAAAAAATGTTTATGAAAATATTTAAAAGTGAAATAAAAAGTTTTTGGAAGTTTAAAGCTGCATAGTATTTTACTGCAATATTGGTTTGTTGGTTGAGGCAGGTGCCGAGCATTAACTCGTAATGACCCCACCCGCTAGTCACCCCATGTGTAAAGTTTTTAAGCAGTTTTCTGAGCAGACTCCGTATTTTTGCCCCGTTGTCTCGCTCATGTCTCCAAAGACTGCCGACCGTAGAGCCCTCAGTCTACTCCTTCAAAGTGCGGTTCATTAGCAGGGAAAGTGCTTTAGGTTTTTAGGTTCTTCTTCTTGCCTGAAAGATCTGCAGGTGTCGTTAGATGGTAAACCCAACCTCTCCTCAACTCTCCTTTATTGGGCTTACAAGTAAACAATGGATTGGAAGAGAAGTACCCCTCCTTGCACACTCGCCCTCCATCTCATTACCCGGTATGCTACTATGTCCTGGCACCTATACCAGGTTCAAACAGAACTATTTGGTCATCATGTTAAATAACCTGCGGCAGTTTTTTAGGGTTATCGATTTTACTGTTACAGATTCTAGTGATCCCAACGCATCCTGGTTATTCAAAAAGATATGAATATAATTTTCTGAGTACACCATTAAGCTGAGACTGTTGACAACCTAATATATAGTCATCAGGTCCAAGACTCGTTGAGTAAATTCCGCCACCGATCCTGTTATCAAGTTTTGACGGTGAATAGTCGATACTTTCTGGTATTATCCTATCCGGGATAACTGTCTTGAAGTTCTGGATGAAATCAATGAATAATATGCAGTAATCCGTTTTTTTTTCTGAAAGACAGAATTTTCTTACAATGTTAGTAAGACCGTTGTGTGTTACTATCCCTTCAGACACTTACTGTAGTCTTACCGCAGCGCAAACAGCATTCTATAACTCCATTAAGTCAAAGTGGTCTGATCTGAGAGGATATTCATAGCCTCTGCTTGGGTGGCACAAAGAGTACCGCCGTTCTCTGCACTTTATCGCATTTGGAGACAGTTGATTTTTTCACTAGTTTTAGCTATTAAAATGAGGTGACGTGCTCCATTTCCGGCTAATAGCATTTTTGCAAAGGACAAAAGACGCCTTACACATTTTTTCTACCACTTTAATTTCCTCCTGTCTGAAATGAGTTCCAGATATTTTGAAAACTCAGTAATGCGCAGTTCTACTTCTGAGAGCATAATTGCATTGTTGAGAATATAAAACACGGTTTAAGAAAAAAAAAATGTTTCGGGAGAGTTCTTTTTTTAAATGTGACAAATCAAAAACAGGTGGTAATTTGTCTTCAAATTATGGAAATTTTTTCATCATTTCCATCTCCTAAAATAATTATCAAAAAAAAAAATAAAAATAAAAAAGAAAAATAAATCAGGGTATAAAGTTAATGTGAAAAATTTTAATGCTCGCTCCAGATGTTACTCAACATGCATTAGTTTCGATTGCAGAGTTCTCTGAAAAGCTTTGGAGTCAAGGAATCAGAAGGCTAGGCTGTAACACCTCCATCATGTACCAAAGAACCCACGAATTGCTACGAATAAAGACTAATTATTTTTGGGATCAAGCTTCCCTTTCGTAGACATAAATCATCTGCGACGGCTGTAGATTTCGAGCAGGGGAAAATACTAGTTGTTAACTAGAATCCAACTGGTATGCAGTTTTGCACGAATTAGATAATTTTTCATCAATTTCTCATGTAAGAAACTAGCGATTTTAACATGGCGACGCCAAACGAGCTGGGAATTATCCGAATATGTATCAGCTTCATATTAGTTGTACACCAGCTCACTAAGGTATGTTGAAATTTTACTTCACCAGAAAATGAAATTGCGAGCTTCCCGCACCATAGTGGAAACCTTTATCCACTAGGCTATCGTTATGACGCATAGAGTATGATCTACAGACTTTTTTAGGAAATAAAACTCAGCCGTGGCATAGTGGCATACTAAAACAACAACAGACAAATGGGAAGCAAGGTGATAAAATTTTTTGGATAACAAAAAAACTTTGAGACTCGAACCGGGAACCCAACGTGCTTCAGCGATAATCTCTACCCATAATCACGACTGTCGAGGCAATATAGTGGCCAAAGTCATTTTGCTCAGTTCAAAACAGAGCAAAAAATAGAATTCAGCCGTGACGCGCCGATATATCAACAATAAACGGTGCTAAAAATTAGTTTTTATTCCCTTACTGATAAACGAATATACAAATTACCAACTGGTAAGATTTTATCTCCAAAGTACTAGTGTTTAACTAGAATATTTCTCATACTAGTATACCTTCTCTCCCTGAAGTGTTGTCCTCAATTTAACAGCCTTCTTATGCTCAAAACAACTCAGCGATTTCGTAGGCAACAAATGATGTATACATATATATACACGAATCTATAATATTATATAAGTAGAAATTTAAAATTTTCCAATAATTGGACAGGGAAAGAATATAATGTCGGCCGGCAAAATGTACAAGCTTTTATTCCAAATTAACTGCAAGCAAAAATAACATATTTTATTAAGTATTATATTTATTATTAACCAATAACTTTAAGCTTAAAGATATGATCCAACTTGTAGAAAAAGAGGAATAAAATAAATATGTATGAATCATAATAATAATAATAATTAGACAAGTAATAACCAACAAAAATAAAATTAGCTTATACTGCATATTTCAATCTTTTGGTCCTTTCAAGTTCTATGCCACAAAAAACCCATAAACCAACAAACGAACAACATTATCGGCATCTGCATTATAACTGGGCCTGTGGCGACATTGTAGTAACCGCCTGTCACTTGCAGATTCGCTGTTTCTATGCTGCGCCTACAGTAGTCACCATCATAATTCCAACCCACATATTCATTTGTGCGCAATGACTCGAGCCGTAGCCACTCCTCGAGCGGTGCGAAGTACTCACGCAGCGCTGTGCCATCCAGTCGACCTTCGCCAAGTGTTTCCTCAAGCACCGTTTGCCAAGGTTGAGAGGCACCCTTCGCCATTATGCGTCTGTGGAAGAAAAAAGATGTGAGAATTAAAAAACAAAATTTTTACGTACTTAGCAATAAAAAACCAGAAAAATCTCTACGGATCTATTTTAATTAAATAAATATAAAATATATATAAATAAATAAATTAATATATAAATAAATAAATATATATACAAATAAGTAAATATATTTAATGCAATAAAATAAAATGAAATAAATTACGTAATATGAGACCAAATAAACTAAGATTAAATAAAATTCAATAATATTCAAACATATAGTTCCTAGATATTTTTGAAGCTTACTTCAATAAATTTCCTGCCTCCGGATGCCGATAAATATCACAACGATGTAGTGGCTTGCGTGGATCTCCAGGTACATATTGGCCACTAACGCGACACATTCCACGATATATTTGGAACTGAAGAATGGTTGAAACATAGTATCTGAAAAAGTCAATAAAAAAATAAAATTAATAAAAATTTCATTAAATCACGTAGTTTATATAATTTTTTTAAAAAATTGTACTTTAGAGATATATCTTTTATTATTTTAATGTATTATTTATTATATTTTTAAACAATTTAAAGCAGCATCGCAGCGGTGGTGGAATTGTAGGATTTATTTAAATTTTTTTTTCCTACATTTTGTCATTAAATTTAAAACTTCAAGGTTTCGATTACTCAATAAAAATTTTATTTATAAGATTTTTATATCGCTAAAGCGGTTTCATTGAAGAGTAACGGTAAAGTATTTGCTTTAAGAAGTATGTTATGACATGTTTATTTACGTAATAAAAACCATTTATTACCCCTTGTCTAATCTAATTATCAACGGAAAGTGGATAAACCGCGGAATGCGCCAACTAAATATACATATGTGTACATATATACACATATATTCGCAAGTGTAGCTATAAACTTATTTGTGTGGTTACAGTTAGTTTAATTAACTACTAAAATTACATATTTATTGTTTTTAGTATTTTATTTCATATTTTTTTTATACGCACAAGCCAATAATGCAAAACGACAATTATGGCAGTTTAAGATTTGGTTTGGATTTGCATTTTCAACGACAATATTGAATTTCTTTACGAATACTTGGTAATGGACTTGGTTAAAGACTTAAGCAGTGGGCTTTAGATGTGGAATTTTTGTGTGTTACATAAGGTATTTCAACTAGATAATTTCAAAATACAATTATCTTAAACCTGAAGTACTTCTTTAGTTTCGTATCGGACTAAAAATACGAAAGAAAAAGAAATTATGGAGCCTCTTGTGGTTGTCAAAGATTCTATAAGAAGTTTGAAGATATGTCCGCAAAGTTTTTCGCATCTAACTGTGTACCGAGTACAATCGGAATTGTATACTCTTAAAAGCTTTTTCAACATTCTATACATCAGTCAAGCAAAGTTTAGATCCATGTAAAAAATTTTAAGCTTTATGTTATATTTGTTTATAAATTATCGAGATTTTACCATAAGCTAGGCCTACCACATGGAGCTTTCTAGAATTCACGATCATTGTCAGTAGTGTTTAATGGGGTAAAGCCACTCTAGAGGTTGAAAAATAGACTAATTTTTGAAATTTGTTGTTGAATATGGGAAGATGAATAGAATTTATATTTAAACATTTCATTGAGCATATAAAAAGTATAAAAAAATATTCTTTAATTAATATTTTGTTACAAAATGGCGCTGATAAAGTCCATTATTTAATGCATGTTTTTTCCAAAGGCGACCAAGGGAGGACCAATTTCTTCTAAAGGATGAGACATAGAACAGAAAAGCAAAAAGTTGTATGATCTGCAAATTTTAATTTTTGACGTGCATACAAATTTATTTTTAAACTAATTTGTTTGTAATATACATTTTTTACTAAAAAAAAAGCAATCAAAAAACAGCTAAATACTTCCAAAAAATGTATTGTTGAATCTACCATCAAAATTGCAGAGAAATCGTGAGATAGGATCCGAATAATTTGCCCGCTCAGTTTGAAAAACGAGATTTTGAGTGTTTTTTGTTTTCATTGTACTCAGCGCACACTCTGCGGGGCTGCTACAAAATAAAAAGTTCAGTTATTTGAAATATTTTTTTTTTTTCACTTTAAATCCAATTACTTATTATTTCTATGACCCAAAGCTACTATGTAACCCAAAAAAATGTACGTTTCCCAAAATCCTAGAGTGACTTCATACCTTAAGAAAATGCTTACCAAACAACATTCAATTATTATTTTTTACTTCTTGCTATATTTGGGTTATATTTAAAAATCGAAAGAACCTTGTATACCTCAAAACACTCCCATACTGTTTCTTTCGTTCATCCATGATCTTCCCAATGAGGCTTTTCTTGCTGAAACATTTACATCTGCAGATGTTGCATACCACTTTAAATTTGTTGGAAAACAGAAAAAACCCTTTACTTTTTACCATCCACACTGCTAAGATAAGAAGTCATTTTATTGCGATCTCTGGGACCAAAGAAATACGCCCAGTACCATATTACCTAGATAAATCACCATGTGTGGTGATTTCCAAAAATTAAAAAAAAAAATAATGCTGAGCTTGTTATGCTTAAAAAGCAAGATGTGGAAGACTGTTTTCAGGAGTGGATCTGCAAGCTTAAGAAACGCATTGAAATTGTTGCCGATTATAAAGAAGATAAATAAGAAAAAAGTTTACGAATAAATAAAAAAAGATTTACCTAATTTTTGTTAGTCCCCCCTGTAGATACTAGTAGCAAGATTTTATATGCATATAAATTCCACGAATTACGATAGGAACAAGAAGTTCTTCAAAGGAAATAAAGAATGAACAAATGAAATGAATGATTATGTTTAATCGATCTGTTCCATAAATTTGATATTAACTGAATAAAATTTCTCAGTAAATGATATGTTGTCAAAATTACCGTATGAGCTTGTTAGCTTGATATTAGGATAAATATTAAGAAGACGTATATTTTTTTTATATATGTATTTGTTTGTATACTAAATTAGTTGTAATGAGAAATTCCTAATTTAGTTAAGCTGACATGTAATTCTGCAAGCTGGGGTTGTGTACCAATCAAGCAACTAACTCAGAAACAAAATGTTTCTACAAAAAAAAAAAAAAATATAAAAGAAATAGAAATAAAAATTTGCTGTACATTTACCAAAAAATCAGTTAGATTTGCATACTGATTTGAGTACTCACTCAAATGTGTCACCGTGTTGAGTATGCCTACACATGTCACTAAAAATAATTTGCTAGCAGTTTTTACGACAGACGCGCTACATTTTTAATTGTTGCGTCAATGACAACTTTGCTATTTACACATACATATAAGAAAAATTATTAGCACCATCAAATTGTTAATGATCTACAATTTGTCCTCAAATCGCCACTGCATACAGTGCATAAAATTGCATAATTTGTTGAATGCAAAAAAAGGTAAACAAAAAATGTGTAAACCAATTAAATTAAAAGTAAAGCACAACTTTGTATTTAACGCTTGAGTTTTACCGTTCAAGCACACAAACACACACACACAGTCTGAATATTTTTTTATTTAAATCAACTGTCTTTCAGCCACTCAATACCGGATACAATTCTAACGCTACACGGAATTTGTTATATTTTGCAATATCCACAACTCATTACCAGCTAAATAATGAGCCATAACAAATGGCCATGCCATGCCATGTTATGCTAAGCTCCTTAACACAATTGTATTTATGAGCTACAGCTCTTTTGCACACCTTGTGCTTGGCATCAAATGTGGTGTTTGTTTTATAGTGTTGGTGATTGAGAAGACAACCATGCCCACCGGAGACTCTGCGCAGAAAAGGCGAAATTATCCACAATCAATGGTAATTATTGCTGATTTACAAATTACGTGCTCGTTTCCAATACAAATACACAAACATATTGACACTCGTGCATAAAAAACCACGTAAAATATTTATTTAAAAAAAACTTAACATTTAATTTCATTTGTGCTTATAAAATTTTACAAGTTTAATTTTAAAACTTGTCGTTTTTTTAATTCAAATCATTTAATGCTTTGAAGGCTGCTGCGGTCGCCATAAACTATTGTTACTTTTGTTCTGGTTTTGTGCGGGCAAAGCCAGCAACCACTGAGAGGCGGCTGTGGGCGTTACTGAGAGTATCGCAATTTTTTCTTGAATAAAACTGATTTCTTTACGATAAGTGATGGTCACGTCTTGCTATAGTCTTGATTCGCTTAAGCGATGCTTGTTAACTTACCGTTTTAATAGCCAATTATGGTAATTATATGTAATTGTGTGCTAAACAAAAGACTTAAGGCACAAACTTGATTGCTCGATTAGTGCGGCAAGTGAAATTGGCCGGTGCTTAAATATCCAATCGCTAATTCAAACATCGAAAATTAATTGAATAGTACATATATTTCATTCTAGTTAAAATTAGGTACCATTTAATAGCTCAATCAAAATATATGCTTAAAGTTGGATTGGTTGCGTTGGTTGATGCAACCATTTATTGAAACCCACAATCCTAAGCGAGCATATCAAAATTAAAATTGCAGGTGATAAGTAAAAAGCTTTGCTTTAGCTCTACCTAACTCAAGCTCAGCGAAGTTCTCTTTTACACATGTTGTCAGAAGCTCTCACTATCTTTTGTATTGAACGGTTAGAAGAGGATTAATTATTGATTTTTGTTGAAAATTTGCATGATTTGCGTATTACTTGAGTAATTTCCAAAGAGCTCATAAAGTTTTGAATTACCTTTTAAACATAGATAGCTAATCATCTTAAAAAGCATTACCAACTAGACCGATTTGACTGACTTGGTTGTATTGATTTTGATTTTTCAAAAAGTACTTTTTTCGAACAGTAAATAGTTCTTCGAAAAACAAAGAAAAAAAAATTTTATTGTAAGTGACCGGAGCAATTTCCATCATATGTGAAGCATAGATCAGTGGAAATATGCCAATAGAGAATGTGTCAAAAAAAGATGATCTGATAGGAAGACTGGAAATGGTTAAAACTTTCAAAGTGGCCCAAAAAACTTTAATATAGTTTAGAAAATTAACTTATGCAATGAATTAATTATTACAATATAGATATGATAGGACGTTAATAAGTCCTACAATCGTAAATATTTTGAAAAGAGTTAAAAGCAGCTCAAGGATTCAATTCAAGTAATTATTAAAGGAATTGTATTACTTGCTTAATGTTGCCAGTATTTGAAATTTTTTCTTGAGAGGAGCTGCCAACTGTTCGAAAATTTTAGTTAAATAAAGTGCGGAATGCGCCAACTATTGCGAAAGCAATTGAGACCTGAGTAATTTCTGTTTAAAACAACTTTTTTAAATTTTTTCACAAACTTCATTTGTTACTTTCTATTTTATTTACATCAAATTTTGCATATAATATTAAACAATGGTCAAACTTTTCCGGGCAAATATTGGTTTTTAACT